ATTCACAAGCCCACTAGCCACTAGCTCACTGTTTTTTCCCCATGATACAGATTGATTTCATGTGCATATGATTTGTTTGACTTGTCCGTGCTTATTTTTATTGGTATGTTGTACTACTACTGAGCGAATAACAATTTTTTCTGGGAGCTTGCCAGCTTGGCACCGATATTTCTGAAACTTTACGGAGGAAATAAGTTCAGTTGAAAGTTTTTATCCTCTAGGATTTGGCAGTTTTATATAAGGATTGATAACTAGGAGAAAGGTGCTTTGGGAAAAATACAAAGGGAGAGTTGGAAAAAGTACGTCTAATATAAACAAGTTTATTTTTAATTTATCATTTAATTTATTTTAAATCAATGATCGTATGGAGATGTCTAGAGATCCATCTTTGCTTAACTGTGCATTCGCTAAGGGCAAGCCTTAGGGTCCGTTTTAGGATCAGTGACTGTTCTAGACGAGGCACGGTTGAAACTTTTATCGACTTTTCCCCCATTCTTTGCCTTATTTGAGCATTACTACCTACGAAAGATGGTTAACACAGTAGACACCTTGCTATGTAGGTAGTCAGTTGTGATTGGCTCAGCTGTTCAGCATATAGATTCTTTGCAGCTTGTTTCTTTCCTGTTTCATGTCTGACCTGTTGTAGAATAAATTTACCAACAAAAAGTGCTTCAATTAATGCTATTGTATCATCTCATGAAGTTGTTTTTGGTCCACTGCAGATCACGTACTGCTGTAGCCCCATTGGAACGGCTGAAAATTTTACTTCAGGTTAGTTTGCTTTTCCTTGATGCTATTTTATGTTTGTGTTGTGTATAAAGTTCCTATCTTGATATGTTATAAAGAATAAACTTTTGTCACACTTAATGCACATCATTTCAAGGACCCCCATTTGCATTTCGAGAACAATTTTGATTAAGTTGTGTACTCTACAAAAATTTATCAAGATTACATTACCTGCATGTAAACAATTGCAGGTTCAAAATCCACATAACATAAAGTACAGTGGTACAGTTCAAGGCTTGAAATATATTTGGAGAACTGAGGGTTTTAGGGGATTGTTCAAAGGCAATGGGACCAATTGTGCTCGCATTGTCCCAAATTCTGCAGTAAAGTTCTTTAGCTATGAGCAAGCTTCCAAGTATGTTGTTTTCAGTGATGTAGTTCCACTAACAAAGATATTTTTAGTACATGATGATTCATGAGGTGCTGTTGGTCATTGATCTTTTGGATTTTCTGTATGTTGACCTGTTGGAGACCTCGAGATTCTGGTAGCACTTTAATATGCTAAAATAAATCCTTTCATTTGGCTAGCAGCCAGATTTTTTTTCCCTTTTGTTAATTTGAGTTCGTTCAGTTTCTGGTGGTTTTATTGTATGTGTTCCCTTTGTTGACAGTTCCTTGTTATCATTGGAACAGGGGTATACTGTGGCTATATCGAGAGAAAACTGGAAATGGTATGTTCATTCTTCCTTTCTACCACGACATTGTTGAGGGGACATATCTTTTTGTGTATTACCTAATTATTATTTCTGAGTTGATCATCATTGAACATGACAATGGTTTAATATCCAAAGCAATGGATGCTTTTATTGCTCGGTTCAGTTTGTCCCATTTGTGCTTTTACTCATTGCACGTAGTTCTGTAGGTTTGAGTTGATTATGAGATCTGAATGTACTTCTGTTCTTTAGAAGCAAAACTTCTGGTAGTTCTTTAGGTTCTGGCTCCAGTCTTATTGAGATTGTCAAGATTTTGAGTTCATCTTCCTCATTTTTTATATGACCGTGTCTGCACAGGTATGCTGCTTTCACAACAGCAAATTATTTTCACTCACCAGTTATGTCAGGCAACTTGAGATTCTTTTGTGATATTAACTGATGTTTGATTCCTTTAAAATTTGTTGATTTTCATGCCATTCTGTCACAGAATGTTGGCAGTTCTATGGCAACAAGTATGGAGTTCATTTTGAATCTTTAACCTTTTTTCGCAGAGGATGCTGAACTCACTCCTGTATTGCGGCTTGGAGCGGGAGCTTGTGCTGGGATAATTGCCATGTCTGCGACATATCCAATGGACATGGTACGAGGAAGATTGACCGTACAGGTAACTTTTCACGTTTATCCTACAAATGTGATTACTTATGAAGCTTCTTACCTGTTAGCAGTTGGCCAAGAGGTGGCTATGACCTCATATCTTCTTTTAGCAGTTTTAGTCATTAATAGTCTCCATGTTACGATTACCTGTTAGCACTTCCATAACATCATATCCTTTGCTTGTTTGCAGACTGAGAAGTCTCCCTATCAGTACAGGGGAATGTTTCATGCTTTAGCCACTGTTCTCCGAGAGGAAGGCCCCCGGGCTTTGTACAAGGGCTGGCTTCCTTCTGTTATTGGAGTTGTAAGTTCTGCTTTTTGTGTGACTTACTTTATCTTTCCCTTCCAGTTAACCGTAAAGAAGTGCATTTAGCAGAGGTTTATGCTTTGCTTTGTTTCTTTTGAATTCTGGAGATTTTAGTACTGTTCATACTTCATCAGCGATCACAAGATACTTATTGTTGCAAGTAGTTCTCACTGGAGATTAACGGTAGCGTAAAATTGAAAGGTCTGTTTCCCTTTTTAGGTAATGGTGCGGCTTGGACAATTTCCAATGTACTGCAACTGATTCTGTATATTGTTGAACTTGTACTCCGACATTCATCTATTGTGGGAGAAGAAACTGTTTTATTTATGCATCATGATGTTTTTCGTCTAATGTTCTGTACTCAATTTCCTTTCGGAGTAATTGGGTGCTATGATGCTGCATTTGAATTTTGCCTCTTTCTCCATCTGGTAGAATTAGTGTGGGGCAGGATGGATGAAGGAAGGAAATATTCTATTTTTCTAAGCTGTTGCATGCTTGGAGCTGGGCTTTGTGCCTTACTCTAATTAATCACATAATTTTTTTTGGGATAATTCTTCTGGAAAGTTATAAAATTTCCTAGTCTTTAGTGGTATTTCATACTTTGAAATGTTGAAGTGGACAGCTATATCTTGGTTATGGTTTGCATAGCGTGTACTTTTCTTTCCTGAGTTAATCATTGCTGATTAGACTGCTGATTTGACGCTCAAGACTTGCATGATAATCTTGTTCCCTATCGTCTTTTCTGTGGAGCTCATATGAACAATGTCGTTTATGCAGATTCCATATGTGGGTCTCAACTTTGCTGTGTATGAATCATTAAAGGATTGGTTGGTTAAGGCTAAACCTTTTGGGCTTGTTGAAGACTCGGAATTAGGTGTTATAACAAGACTTGCATGTGGGGCTGCAGCTGGGACTGTTGGTCAAACTGTTGCTTACCCTTTTGATGTTATGCGAAGAAGAATGCAGATGGTGGGATGGAAAGATGCCGCTTCTGTTGTCACTGGTGATGGAAGGAGCAAAGCTCCACTTGAGTATACCGGCATGATTGATGCCTTCAGGAAAACTGTGAGGCACGAGGGCTTCAAAGCCTTGTACAAGGGTCTGGTCCCCAACTCAGTCAAGGTTGGTTTCTGTACCCTAGTAGCAATTTTCCTTGCTTTTGTCTCTATTTCTTCGTCCTCACATTTTGCATTTTGAGGTTCTAATTTACCTGGCTTCTGTTAAATCTGATTGATTGTGTATGTGTATAAATCTACATACTTATGTCTACACACGCACACACAGAGTGTATGCTCCTCTGTCTGATACCATCCATCTTGCATGCTATTTTCTGATGGGATGATTTTGAGTAGTATCCTAGCATGGATGGAGAGATTAAAGTTATTTACAATTTCGACAACAGATACTCATTTTTCCGATTTGGCCAAATGAAGCTTTCTTGCAAAAGATTGTGTGGAAGTGAAATAAATCCCATTCCAATAATATTTCATAAGATGTTAGGCTGGCTTACTCTAGAAATCTAAATATGGATGGAATGGAGTTAGTTTGCTTAATGTGCTTCTTCTTCTTCTATTGAGCAGTAGAATCGTAGATATCTGCTCAAAGTAACGGTTAACTTCATTTCTACACGGGGTATGGTTACTTGCATTTGGTAGATGATGTTGTTAAGCTGCCGTTGGATGTGTTTTGTTTCCCAGTTGACAGAAGACTTTCTTGAATGCACTACCTGAGAACTCGGATTTTATTTGGTTGACTGTCTAAGAAGTCATTTTAGTCTTTTTAACGTCACATTGCTATCTTTATAAGTTGACTCATTCATTATATATACCATGAAAAGTCGGATGATATGTTTGATCAACTTCATTGTTAATTATTCAGGTCGTCCCATCAATAGCTATTGCATTTGTGACGTACGAGCAAGTGAAGGACTTACTTGGCGTTGAGATCAGGATATCAGACTGACAAGCGAGCCTTGCATTTTTATTTTATTTTTTTGGGGTTGCATGTGAAATTTTTGTAGACAAGGAGAAGAGCAATCGCAACATGGTTATGGCCTCTCCATCCCTGAGAGAATTTAGAGACCTGCTCTAGTCTGTCTATATGTTGCTTCTCTGTTTAGCCATGTCTATATGTTTTGCCCTTCCAAGTGCCTTAGCATGTAGCAGTTGCCATTCAGATGATGTGTCTGTCAATAATGATATGGCTGACGAATATTGCAATAACTGCCTTGGTTGTGTCCCTGATAAAGCAGAACCCATCAGATTTATTGTGCGTCCGACTTTTCATCAGGAATTTTATTTTTGGTGGCTCATTTCAGTTTTTAAGAGATTATCCGTCGATAGTTTGAGAAAGCTATGCATATTCTGTCAAATCGGAAGATTAAGATAAAAAATTGCCTGTAAAAAGTCACTGAACATGTAGGTCTTGCGGCGCTAGAGTGCTCGAATGCAGTGGGCATCTGCATCGTCGTCTCATTAGACAGACAGAACAAATGTAGGCCTTGCTTGAGTGGTCTAAGTCACCGTTTGGGGTCATTTGTAGCCTATTTGATGCAATTATTAATCATTGAAAAGGAGGAAGGGGGAAAAAAGGCCATTAAGTAGATGGAAGGGAGAAACTTGTGCATTCCAGTGTACTTGGAGAAGAAGTACAGTCCTTCATGCATAGGGAGGAAAGTAATAATAATAACAACAGCGTATTATTATTTCCGTCAAAGCACAACACTAGCAGGTAAACAACGAAATTACACAGACGACTCCTCCTCCTCCTCCTCCTTTGAAAAAGCAAAGCTGGTGCTTGCATGCGATGCGGACTCCCGAAGGTGTGGGACATGGGCGCTGGTGGGGTGTATTTTCACACTCGTCTGAAGTGCCTGTACAACAAAGAAGAAAAGAGATCAAAAATTTTCTTATATATATATATACTTTAAGAGTACAGATTGAGAGAAGGCGATCAGCCATAAACCATATAAACCATTATGAACAAAGCTGTCGAAAGTGATGAGAAAGAGGCTCATTAGGCTTTACCTGCAATCTCTAACCTTGGTCTGAAACCTTGCAGATTGCCGTTCAGGAGGAGCTCTGAACTCGTACATCTGTCGCTTTCTAATTATCTGTAAATTTGGTGAGAGGGGATGCCTCGGTCTTGAATCTTTGTGCGTGCTTTCATCAAAATTTTCTAAATCTAAACATTCTTCGGGAGATAAAGAAAGGAAGGAAAGGAGGATGAGAAGATTCAATTCCCAGAGGGGGGATGAAGGGTTAACGCCGCTCGTACTTGTATCCGAACTGATTCTGCTGTTGATCATACCAATAATGTTATCTTCGTCCCTTTCTTCTTCTTGCAGTTCCTCCACATCTCTATCTCTATCTCTATCTCTATCTCCTCCTCCTGCAGTCATGCCAGATTCTTCTGCCATCTCTTTCCTGTCACGGAATTTGATTATCTATATGTATATGATCACCATTCTTTTGGGACGTGAATTATCAGGTTTGCACAATAACTCCTGCTTTTTGTGAAGATGCGTTGGAAGTTAGAAGTGACTAAAATTGGGACGGAGACGAGCCGAATAGCAGGCGGTTTTGACGGTTTATTCAGCTGTGGGATTTTGGTATTGATAGATGATGACACGTTTATGGAGCCAAACTAAGATTAGGGACGCTGTCTGTTAATCAAATTGTTGTTGTGCATGAATTAAGTTTTTTTTTTTTTCTGGTTCTAGTTCAAGGTTTTTGTGCCTTTTTCCTCTTTTGTCTTTTAAATTATTTTCTTCCCTTTTTTTTATTTTTTGAAAAGCCAATATATCAACATTGATTTTCCAACCATTATTCACTACATCATATTTGGTGTACTACTTTTGATACGTTCTACATCTATCCTCGCGATAGAAATTGCTCTTTTTGTTTTTTAAGTGTAAGAAAAATTACTTCTTTTTAATATAAATGGAAGGGTTTAAATTCAAGATTTTTCACTTACACTCATTTTCCTAAGGGTTGAGCCATCCAACCTATTCCTCCTGCATGATAAAAATTGCTTAATAACTATAAATACACTAGTGTGAATACCCGTGCTACGCACGGTGCTAACATTATTGAAAAAAATAAAATGGTGAACAAATAAAGGTGAAAAAATTGAACCAACAAAATTTAAATGTAATATCTGTTTAACAATAGTTTGAAATATAATAGAATGTGTATATCATTCAAGAACTGTTTTTTTTCAAAAGATGGATCCTGAAAAAAAAATTAAAATTTATATTAAAAAAGGGAATGATATATTTCTACAAATGAATGTAATTGAATGTTGTTAAAGTGAAATACTTACGAATACTAAGCATTCGATTTGATAATCTTTCTTGAACCACTTTTAGTACGAAGGCCAAAATTGATGATTTAATTAACTATGTTGAATTTTGTGGAGTGTGTACTACAAATGAAAATGCACGATCTTTGACGATATAAAAAACTACATATTTACCATGATCAGGCAAAAGTATTGGTGATGCGGATGACTGTCGAACTTGAAGAGAGGCAATATTTTCATTTCTTTGATCTATAAAATATATATTTATATATTAAATAAAAAATAAATAGTTTTGTATTTATGTTATGTGTAGTAAGTGATACATTGTATGAAAATTGTTAACAAAAAAATACAATAGTTAATATAAAAGTAGCATCAATAGAATTTAATACAATTGTGTTGTAATCAAATGAAAATTACGCACCAATAGAATTATTATTAGCACCCATAGTTAATGAAGTAACCCCTATATAAATATATTTTGGTACATGTAGACCCCCCGCAAAACTAACCACCACTTATTGAAAACAAACCAATAAATGCACTAAAATGCCTCCCATCTATACCTCAAATTACACTTTAACCCACGAATTTTGTGCGAAATTATCCTTCTAATTGCTTTTGTCCTTTTCAATTTTTTCACATGTCGCTAACTACTTCATTCCATCTGCTATCACTTGTATATTTAAAATCAATTTTTAATATTAAATAAAAAGGAATGTATTAGTTTATAATACTAGTGTGAATATCCGTGCTACGTACGGTGCTGACATTATTGAAAAAAATAAAATGGTGAACAAATAAAGGTGAAAAAATTGAACCAACAAAATTTAAATGTAATATCTGTTTAACAATAGTTTGAAATATAATAGAATTTGTATATCATTCAAGAACTGTCTTTTTTCGAAAGATGGATCTTGAAAAAAAAATTAAAATTTATATTAAAAAGGGGAATGATGTATTTCTACAAATGAATGTAATTGAATGTTGTTAAAATGAAATACTTATAAATACTAAGCATTCGATTTGATAATCTTTCTTGAAGGTGCGAACACTCTTCACACCAATCCACTTTTAGTACAAAAGCCAAAATTGATGATTTAATGAACTATGTTGAATTTTGTGGAGTATGTACTACAAATGAAAATGCACGATCTTTAACGATATAAAAAACTGCATATTTATCATGATCACGCAAAAGTATTGGTGATGCGGATGGCTGTCGAACTTGAAGAGAGACAATATTTTCATTTATTTGATCTAGAAAAAATATATATTAAATCAAAAATAAATAGTTTTTGTATTTATTTTATGCGTAGTAAGTGATACATTGTATGAGAATTGTTAACAAAAAAATACAATAGTTAATATAGAAGTAGCATCAATAGAATTTAATACAATTGTGTTGTAATCAAATGAAAATTACGCACCAATAGAATTGTTATTAGCACCCATAGTTAATGAAATAATCCCTATATAAATATATTTTGGTACATGTAGACCCCCCAAATCCCGCAAAACCAACCACCACTTATTGAAAACAAACCAATAAATGCACTAAAATGCCTCCCATCTATATTTCAAATTGCACTTTGACCCACGAATTTTGTGCGAAATTATCCCTCTAATTGCTTTTGTCCTTTTCGGCTTTTTCACATGTCGCTAACTGCATCATTCCCTCTGTTATCACTTGTATATTAAAATCAATTTTTAATATTAAATAAAAAGGAATGTATTAGTTTATAATATCTTCATAATGTAGATAAATTATTAAATTTAGAAAAGGGCGTATGTTCTTATAGGTTTCTTTTCTTTTCTTTTTTTTTTTTGGGGAAAATGAGTTTGTTCTTATAGGTTTTTTTTTAAATTTTTTGGATACAGAATTGTTTTTCAAAGATTTTGGTCCGTAGTCCCTATTATGTTTAAACCATTTTTTAATATTCAATTCAATATTGTCTTTTAATTTGGCAGCCTCTATATTTTTTAATTTATTCTTTTGGTTTAAGTTCAGTTAGAATTCGGAATTTTTCAAATACCAAGAGAAATCAATTTTTTTTTAAATCGCCGTCTTAAGTCGGGTAGAACGCCGAAATATGAGTTAGGATTATTTTCTTTATGCAATTAGTTTTCTGATATCTGGTATGATATATAATTATGTCCCTTGAATTTTTTTTTCATATAGAATTATAGATATCGTTAGGTCTTTGGCATCACTGCTGAACATAATCTAAGCTTAGAATAACGCATTTTTTCTAATCTAGTGGATGCAAAAATACAAAAATACAAAAAATGAAGGTAATATTGTGATTCAAACTCTAAAAAGTAGAATATCATCCTTCAAGAAGTTTCATGCCTTCTTTAACATCTAAAAAAGATGCAACACAGAACAGTTATTTGAATGCTATATAAAAAGTGGGAAGCTTTGCTGTCCCTAACCCTTTTTGATTGTTCTGCTTCATTCTCACTTGGCGGACATGTTTAACCCTTCTGGAAATTGAGCTGGACTGCTTTAACGGGTCTGCCGTAAGCCGAAAATGAGCACAGACCATTTGGCTAACATCGGCACTTGGGACCCTATTGTAATTTATGGTACGAAGTTGCCCTGCTGATTGATTGAGTAATGATTGTGTTCTGTATTTGATGAGGACATATACCATACATGAGGGGCAGTTTTATTTGTATTTTGTAACCATGTTTAATTTTATTTATTAAGTTCTCGGGTTTTATGGAAAAGGGTTGGGTTGAGTGATAAGGTGAGAGGAATTATAAAGTAAAAAGTTGTGATTTAAAATCTTCTACTTAAATAAAAAAAAAATTCTCGGGCTTTATACCCAAAAGAGAATAAGGTATACTCATTTAACTTGAATTATATATATCCCTTTCTGCAATTGCACAAAAGTTTAATGAACAGGACATGATCGCCGTTAACAAGTCCATAAACATTTTAGATTTGTACTTGCTAGCTCCTCTGCCCAACCCTTGTTGCAGTCAAGGTTTTGAAAACTAGGATCACACTGGATCCTTTTGGAGTAATAGAATTAGATCATAGGTTGTGAATATAATAAATGAGAGCCTGAGACTAGAGCTGTTAAACGAGCTGAGTCGAGCTCGAGCATAGGACAATCGAGCTCGACTCAAACCTCTAATCGAGCTAACTCGAGCTCGCTCGATTAATAACTCGAGTTTCACAAGGCGCTCGAGATCGACTCGATGTACAGGTAGAAAACTCGAGCTCGGGCTCGAACTCGAGTTTAAACTCGAGCCGAGCTCATCGAGCTCGAGCTCGAACTCACGACAAACTCGAGCCAAGTTTTCGAGCTCGAGCTCGTTTACGAGAGACAACATATCAGGTCCTGGCAACACTCGTATTTAGGCTGACAAAAGAAGATACACATTCCCTGATTTATCATCTTCAATTCGACAAATCATGCCAAATGACAATACAAGGCAGAATCTAATACTTCAACAAGCTCGAATATATAAAGCCAAAACCTAAAGCTCCTCCATCTCCATCTAATTGCTGTCCTCCTTCATTGCCATCATCTTCTATCATTTCTATCTCTTTTTCACTCAATTCATCAGCTCTTTCTTCATTGTAGTTCAATTGTTCCACGTCTTCATTATTTTGCTCCATCACAGGACTTGATGATGAACCTTGAAATGAGTTGAATGGAGAGTTGTACATTTCTTAATCAAAACACATTTAATAACAAATACAGATTCTGATTAGCCAAAACAGAAATTTACCAAAACACAAATTTAAAATAACTTTTCTAAGAAATAAGGTACAAAAGTAATAAAACAGATTCCAAGAAATAATGCCCACTTCAAACCAATTTTAACATTTCTTTAACTTGTTCCTATCTCAATTCTCAAGCTTACATTCAAATTAATGAAAGAACAGAGGAAAGCTCTTAAAAACTCAACCAGAACTCAGTATAGTGGCATTTCCACTAAACTAAATACGAATAGTGTCATCTGAAGATGGTACACAATTCACATGCGCTCCAGTGGTCTGACTATGGCCAACCATCTTGAATGAAACTCAACCAGATCATCAGAAATCGAAAAGCAAAACAGTTTATTATCATACTTTGGTAGAGGTCCAATTGTACATTTGTATTTCATATATATTGAAAGAAAGCTATTATGCAAGTCCATAAACAAATAGTTGTAGTTACTTTTATGTACGTTAGTTATCATCCATTCTTTTATTAACATATTACCACAAATAACCCAAAAAGAGTATGAAAGGTAGCTTTTTATTTGGAAACAAGATATTAAAAATGTTAGTCTACAGTTTCAAATAGTGAAATAATGTTAAATAGCAAAAGATATAGCTATTTCATACTAAAATAATTTTGATTTTATTCCCAACCAAGAAAAATATCATTGACACAAAACAACACCTATAAATTATTTCGTTTCCTCACCACTCAAGTGAAGGTAACCAAATTTGACAAAAAAAAAAGGGAAGATAACCAAAAAGTAGTTTAGTGTCAACGTTTTGGGCATCAGCATCCTAGTGCCCAGTGAGCCCTTTAAATTTGGTTAGAAAGCCCAATTCTCGCTTTGACAAACAACTCGAATGAAACTCAACCAGATCAACAGAATAGATTGCTAGCTAATTTTCAAGAAAGGAAAAAAAAAAAGAAGTGATTAAAAAAGGAATTAAGTAGAAGAAAATCAGAGGAACTAGTACCAATTAAACACACATCTCCTAGCGCAAAAAGAAAAACTAATTAAACATACTTGTTGGTATCTTTTGAAAAGAAGACAATTTGGAGATGCCAACCTATGATCAGGAAATTGCAAAAATTGAGAAGAAATCGTTACCAGAATGCAGCGAATCGGGATATGGTAGAGGCTCCTGGCTCTATCGAGGTGGCTCCGTATGACGCTGCTCACGGATTCACAAGGAGGGTGAGGCTGCTCCATATGATGAGTCAGTGATGGTGGTGGCGAGAATAGAGGATGCGGCTGCGGTGAGAATGAAGGGTGCTGGCGCGCGGCTGTGCCTGGTGGTGAGAATGCAGGGTGCAGCATGCAGCTGCGGTGAGAATAGAGGGTGAAGGTGCGGCGTGTGGTTGCTATGAAAATGGAGGCTGTGGGGTGCGGGGTGAGAATGGAAATTTGGAGAGTGACTGGCTAATGGCTGTGGGACGGGAAAGGATAAGACCAAAAAAGGAAAGAAAAATTAGGGCTACAGACGGGAGATGACTTTGGGTTAGAGTACCAAATATACATTAAAATGACGAAAATGCCCTTAATCTTCGAGCCTAACGAGCTTAAAGGAGTATTGAGTAGAGCTCGAGCTCGGATCGTTTCTCTCTGTAAACGAGCCGAGTCGAGCTCTTACCAAGCCGGGTCGAGCTCGGCTCGCGAGCTGTCCGGTTCGATTAACAACACTACCTGAGACTTCTTTTCTTTTATTAAATATAATAAATGAAGAGGTTGTGAATTATTTCTTTTTTTTTTTTGTTGGGATGAGGAAACTACAATAGATTTTGGACTGTCATTTTTTAAAAGAAAAAAATTAACTTTTCCATAAATATGCTTTTGAATCACTTTTTTATCTCACAGACATCAAATCATTAGAGTATATTATTTTATAAAAAAAAACTTTAGAAGATAGTAATTCAAACGAGTCAATGATCGCGTGTAATAGACTATTCAATTCAATTTTCATTTCAATTTTCAAAATGCCATGGAACGACGTAAATAGAATCATTAGATGTGGTGGGCGAAGTTAAAAGATATTAGAAAATCCCCATTTGGATGGGTTGTCATTAGCTGTTGTAATTCCACGATTGTAAAATGACAAGAATTAAATAATTTACGAGATTGTAAAACGACATGAATTAAACAAGTGCAAAGTGGAAAGCGGAGAGAAGGCCTTGGTCCAGTCTGGCCGGAGAACATGATAAGAGAGGCGGCACATGGGCGCTGGGCCTTTTCGGGCAGACTCAGTTCATATACGTCTTTTTTTTATTCAAGTATCTCGTAACAGTCCCTCCTTCAAAATACCACTTCATTTTGTAGAATCCGAAGTTCCACAGCCACCACATTCCACATTCCACATCCCACAAAAGATTAGAAACCCCCTCCACATTCATCATATATTTTTTCTTCCGCGTATTGCAATGACTGTGCCCAGAGGTTTCATGGGAGTTGTGACTCTCATTGGTATTGTGATAAGCATCGGCGTTCTTACTCCTTGTCAAGCACAAGCTCCAGCTCCTGCTCCTGCCAGTGATGGTATGTCTACATCTCCTTTTTCATTTTTTTCCCCCTTATCCTTCCCTTTTCTTTGGCTTTTTTTCTCATTACATTTTTCTTTGGCATTGTTTGGCTTTAGGGATGTCAATTGACCAAGGGATTGGGTATTTGCTGATGGCTCTGGCTTTAGCACTTACCTATCTAATCCACACCATGGATGCAACAACGCCTTCTTACTCATAAACGCATTGATCGATTCCAGTTTTCTTTTTCGTTCTCCCTTTCATTTTTCTCTTTCGTTATTGCAAAGATTCAAAACCATTTGTTGGCTTGTTGTCAAGAAACTCCTCCGCTGAATTGAATTGAATTGAATTGAATTGTCGATGGTAGTTTTATGTGTTTCCGCATTTTCATGTTTCATGTTTCATTCTCCATACTCTCTACGAATATATAATTTTACAAAGTGTAGTTTGTTATTTTCCTTTATGGTTATAGATACTCAAAACACCGAAACATGTCATATTGTATTAATTGCCGTTGTTCTTTGTCCAGATGGGAGCTTTATTCTGGTACCAGATCATTGCATTTCTGTATAAATATGAAAAAAATGAACCCTCATGAGGTAGGATAGCAATCTCATCAATTTTAATGTGACACCTATTGGACTAGAGGCAGTGATCATGCAAGAATTCCTGGGAGATGGTTTCCCGCTCTATGGATGATCACCAACCACCTATCTCCCCGGTCTCCACCTAAATTTTGATGCAAAAAGACATGAAAACATTGCAGAACTTTTCTCACGAGCTGTAGGAACCATAAACATTCCCCATCCTGTTTGTCTTTTGCTGTAAAAGTCTACAAGAATAGATACTCGATCGCTTTCTTCTGGCACGAACATGTTCAGCAAACTACTGTTCCGTGTCCCCAAAGAATTCCCGTTTAAGACCGTGTACAGTCGATTGAAAACCCTGAGATTCCTTTCGCTCTCTAGTGTTTTTTTTCCCCTATGTGAACCGTGAAAGTGTTCAACCTGGCCAATCGTCAAATAGTATACCAGAAAATGATCATTTATTCCCAGCATGTCGCTGGATTCAAATCATCTCAAAGCTAGAGATGTAAGTGCAGTTTGCTAAATTCCGGTGTTGCAGTATAACCACTACGTCCCTCAAACAATTAGGAGCAAGAGTCTTCCCATGCCAAAACAGAGTGGAAAATCACCATGCAGTTTTATTGTTTTCCATCAAAGATGCACCTTCCCGGACACTGTTTGTTGCCCGACTATGCCCTGGATCCTTGCCAATTAAGCCAATGCCGCCATCTTGTTCACCAACCCAATAGATGAAAAGGATCTTCAAAAGATATGGTAAGAGTCAGAAATCGAATAAGATGCTGAAACTTCTCCTTCACTGTGTCAAATGTCTCTGCTCCAAAGCGTATTTCACAACTTCATAAAATGAAACAACAATGCCCACTGAAGGGCCTGCCCGGGCCACTCGAGGACCAACTCCTGTAAAAAGTCCCTTTATCCCTCCATCCCTGTTACAAAGTCAGGGTGAGTTAGAATAGGCCAAAAAGGACAAGAACCAAGGATTATATTGATAAAAAAAAAAAAATCTGAAACATATGCACCAAAAAATTTAGATAAGATAACAATGCTAGTTTCTCATTCTTAAAGTCGGTTGCTGAGAACAAAAATAGAGCCTGTAGAAACAAATTCTTAGACATGAGATTTTACAAATTCAGGCCTGGAGACATTTAGTTGGCATTATGGACCAGTATAACTCAGAAAACAATCGAAAAACAGAACTCATTTCCTACAAAGCGCAATAAAGATTCCAAGAACCATTTGAAACGCGAAGAAGAAGGGAACAAAAACATCATCTATCAATCTAAGTGTTCAGAGCTCTCATTTATAGCGAAATCAGAGGACAGCATTTTTGTCCTAAACACGAAATGCATTTCGGTTCAGTAATGATCTGTCATTTTCACAATTCACATTGAATGAGCCTCTTTTTTAAAATGAATGAATGATTGAATGAGCCTATTTTACAGGCTTCATATTAAGAATATAAACAGGTATCTAGGTCAGATTCATGATATAGACCAAGGGACTATAGCAAACATTTGAATTATAAACCCTGAACACACTGCATACTAATCTACTTAAGACACCGCTCCAAAGTCATGCTACTAATACTAACCCCAAATTTGCCGGCTTTTCCTGTGCAAGACAAAGAGAAGATGATGAAATCCAGACTGAAAGAATAAATCCCAGTCTGAACCCTCTTTAATCATTTTACCAAATTTCTGTGTTTAACCATTTATACATATCATCTGAATATGCAAGCCTAAGAAGAAACAGAACCTGCAAGTTATACCTCCATATCTCAAGCAATGTTTGTCTTGTGGTCATCCTCAATGCTCGTACAGGATCTTTCTGGAAATTATGTGCAAAAACACGTTAGACCAACAATTGTAAACTAGGAAGAACGGATGCACTAGTATCATTAAGCTGTCTAACCAGCAAGTGACCTCGAAGCAAGTTTTATAGATATGAGTGTTATACAGCAGAGATGAACAATAAACCCTTTCATAATCAACCAAAAGATGGAAACTATCATCAAGTATCAATACAAAGAGATCAATCAAATATTGGCTTCTGAACCATATGAAAAGGATTTGGAAAGCATAGTAGTATAAATATCATTGAGCTTAGCCACAATTAACAAGATCCAGGAACCACTGACAAGCCCAAAATCCAAGAAAACACCAAATTCAAGTTAGCTAGCTATTAACTTTTTCCTTCAGCAGGGTTTCATGCATCAAAATCAATGCCTAACCAATTTGAGAGGATACTACCCCTTACCAACGGGAACATCCCATTGTTCAATTAGCATTATGTACTGCACACTCACCGGATCTGATTCACTAAACCAATTCTTTCGTGATTATTTTCAAGTCAACCAAAATGCTAATCCTGCAAGACAGTAGACAGAAATAACAACCTCTATCTGCCGCCAGGTCCTTGCAACATCTAAAGGACATGTAAAAGCAGCTGCAAGACTTCCTGCAGTAAACCCAGCACAGAAGTTTGCCCCAAGGACTCCACCTACACTTGTCTTGTCACCCATCAGGCCCAAAATTCTTCTTCTAACCTGCACCATTTGAGGCAAAAGTCTTATAATATCAACTTGCAACTAAACCTAAAACATATTCTACAGATAACAAAGAGAATAAGTGCTTACTGGCTCAAGTGTTGACCAGCAAATTGCAGAGAAAGGAACATCACGAACAAGCTGTGCTCCAAGTCCAGTCCACAAGATACGGTAAGTTTGAACTGCATAAACACAGGTCCCCAGAATGTGCAAACATCAGGAGTACAATTTGAAATTCAAACCAAAATCAGTAAAGACTAGAGAAAATCAATTAAATCATGCATACTACTTCTAGCGAAATTCTGGAACTGTCAGGAACAAAAAATAGGGGAAATTTGGACACTATTAACCCTCTTTGAGATAAATAGTCTTTTTTGTGCAATTCCAAATGTGAAGTAAGTCTCTGTATCTTATTGGTAAAACAGAATACTTGAAATTCAACAGACCCCCTCTTTTCTTCTTCAGAAATGACTGAAATGAGTGTATTTTTTACCATAAAAGATTGCTACCCCCAACTGAACTGTAAAACAACAGATAGTACCTATCTAAGTCAAATTCTTAATGAGACAATTAAATGACAAAACTAAGACCCTCAACAATGTTAGCTAACCATTTTATAACAAGATATTGAATAAAACTATAAATATACGGAGAAGCATGACAAAACAGTAGAAAATTACCAAAACCTAAATACTTGAATTTCTAAAACTCTTACCACAATTTCAAATGAAAAGCATATGTCAAGTCTAGAAATAGTTAAATACACTTAATATTTCTCAAATGCAATCCTTAAAAGTCGAGGAAGATCTCTTGTTCGATAATCTTAAGCATGCCAACGTAAATAAAATCTCATCTAGTGGGACTATAGTAATACGTGCATTTCTAAATAGTTAAAACATGGATAACCTCCATGTTATCAAACTTAGGTAAAGCTATCACATTTCATAT